CTGGAAAGGAAATCCATCCGAGCGACCCCATTGGTGCCCACCAAGGCTGCAGAGAAAACTCTTGAGAATTCTCACAAGGGCAAAGAGGTGAGGCGAGAAAGTGGCGGCGCAATGAGCAGCAAGGAAGGAGGTGAATGGAGGTGGAACGACAGTCACAGACGCAATCAAGTGACCCATAACTGCTCCAGAACAATCACAGGGTATGCACATGGCTCGTCGGTGCTGTGCCAGCCATGTAAGGGCAGGGCAGTGTGAGGTGGGACGGAACGCACGTTTGTTGAAGCAGTAGAAGTAGATCAGTACAGCAAGCGCCACAGTGAGAAGAACACCAGCCACGATTGCTGCGATAGCCCACCTAGATTGTGGCTTGCGCTTGTCACCTGCACACGGAGCAGCGGACTCCAACCCAGCATGTTCAATCAGCTGACAAATGATTGATTTGAATCCAAGGCGCAGCAAAGCAGCTCGGAGCACAGAAAAGCAGCTCGGTGCACAGAAAAGCAGCTAAGTGCTTGGATAAAAACACAGGGAGGGAAGAGAGGCGGGGCTCACATGTGGTGCAGAAGTCAGGGCAGGTGCGGCAGAAGCCAGAGGATGGATCCTGAGGCACACCGCAGCTGCTGTAGTTGTCAGGGCACGTGAGACCGCTGCTGTTGGTGTCTCTGAGAATGCCAATCAGGAGGGGGCGAAGGAAAAAGGGGGGATCACGATCATGAAGGGAGATGCTTTGAGCCTCATCCCTTCCCTCACCTCTACCTGCTCTCCTCTACCTGCTCTCCTCTGCTCCGCTTGGCCCTCCATTGCAAGGCCTTGCACATGGAGGGGAGGACACATACAGGCTCAAACGACCGTGGCAGAGAGGATCCCACCCTCTTTCCCTCCCTTCCAGCTTCTTTCCATTTACGGCATATTGAGGGTGAAATGACCCCTTCCTTCCTGTCTTACTGGAAGTCCAAGTGGTTTGGTTTGGTTTGGTTTGGTTTGGTTTGGCCCATTGGATTGGACCGCTTTGTGCATAGCCAACCTTGGCTGCCCTCTTCAGTGTATGTACCCGTTAGCTAGCTGCCACTCAGCTAGAGATTAGAATAGTGCACGTTTGTTTGATTATCACTTACAGGGTTGAGAGCTTGTCTAGCTTTCCAAGGGCTGGGGGGATGGTTCCTTCCATGTAGTTGGAAGCGACGTTTCTGCACTCATGCAAAGGCAAGACAGATGATATTAACGAGCGAGGAAAGAAGAAGTCGTCGGGAATGAATGAAAAGATTTGGAAACACTGGATGGGAGCAGTTGGCCATGGCTACTACCTCTTGAGTCGACTCGAAAGTCAGCTGTATGAGAGCAGCTTGCCAAGGCTACTACCGTACGGCAGGGGTATCAGCGTGCAAGAACATCAGAGGGGCTGTGTCGTATCATGTGCCATTGTAACGAGGTGGTGACTCTTGAGTCGAGTGGACTCAAAAGACTGGATTGAAGTAGCTTGCTTTGGCTACTATGACAAGGGTATCAGCGTGCAAGAACATCAGAGAGTGTTTTTTGAGAATTCTCAAAAAGCACTCGCTAGTATGACAAGGGTATCAGCGTGCAAGAACATGAGAGTGTGGTGGAGGTGGAGGGGCCATGGAATAGACATTATCACCGCCCATCGCATCATCGGTGGGTATGCAGGGGAAGCGCGGCAGCAAAATGAAGTCACAATATGAGTGCGCAGAACATGCACATGTATGCCATTGTGAAAGTCAGAATGCATGTCTAGTGGGAAACGGTGGATGGAATTGGATTATAGCATCTGCTGTGAGGAAACTCACAGGCTGACCAGGTTGGTCATGGTTGTGAGAGATTCAGGTAGACTGCCTCTCAGCCCGTTATAGGAAAGATTTCTGATGGCACATGCATGGCATGAGGGGGAGGCATGGAGAACGAGAGTGGGGCACGGAGCATGAGTGAGAGAGACTTGGAATGGAAATATGAGGAGATTTGTTCCGATTCCACGAATGCAAACAGCAGCAGGAGCAGGAGAAGCTTCACAAGGAGAGAATCGTTCGTACCTGCGTGTGCTGATCTGATCTGCGTTCGAAGAAACAGGGACAGGTGCAATGGCACTTACTTGTTAACATGCGCAGCACAGCAAAGAAAAATCGCTTCTCAGAAATCGCGGCACGTACAAGAATTGCAAGGTGGGCAGGGTGATGTTGGGCAGCACTTGGTCTCCCTCCAACATAATGAACGAGAGATCCCTGTCGATTGATGATGCAAGATTTTACACACATGCAACAAGGATGCACACGCAGGCACGCGCATGCACGCACGCACGCACGACCACACAAGAAGCAGGTATCGTGGGCATGATGATGCAGGCACAAGGAGCAGCACATGGCAGATGCTGATGGATAGAGGCAGATAGGCAGGCAAACAAGTGGGGGCATGGTAAAGGTGGAGTGACCTTCAGAGAGGCATGGCAGCGGAGAGAAGAATGAAGCGGAGTGCCTGCCTCAGCCTCATGTCCGCTTCATTCTTCTCCCCGCTTCATTTGGAATTGTTGGAAGCACTGCCTGTTACACACTTGAATCAAATTGCCTTGCATTGAATGATGCAGCGGAACGGAATGGAGTGGACTGACAGAGTGGTGAGGCCGGAGAGACGAGACAGGTGCATGAGGCTGTCGGGCTCGAGTGGGGTTGGAGCTCAGATTCCTGCCGGGCCGTGCCGTGCAGCATGTGTGTGTGGGATGGGTGGGATGGGTTGGAATTGGAAAGGCTTTTGAAGGGACGCACAGGCAAATCATGGCAGTGATTGGGGATGCGACATTGCGATGCGACTTGCGAACGTGGGCAATGGAATGACGTGGATTCACATGGTGGTGATGACGATGGTGGTGATGACGATGGTGATGATGACTATGGCAGGCAGCAGCAAGCCTTTTGAATGAAGATACTCAGCGTGCTTGAGTGGAACTCATTTGCAAATGAGACACTGGCAATGACTGAGACAACGCTCAAAGGGATTCCATAGCGCTCAAATGCATAGCTCTTCCTCATTTGCCACACGACGAAGATCTGACTTTTGAGTCGACTCAAGAAGCATAGCGATCAAATGCATAAATCCTCCTCATTTGCCACACGAAGATGCAGCAGCAGGGCAGGCAGGGCACGGCACATGACAGGAGAATGGCGCACAGTTTAGTTTTGAGACTTCTCAAAACAACACTTTTAACACGAAGATACAGCAGCAGGGCAGGCACGGCGGCACATGACAGGAGAATGGCGCACAGTTTCGCGAGTGTGGGGAAGTTGCTGTTGGTGACATCCATAATGGACGATATGCGGTTGAATGGAACCTCTCTGCACAGGCAAAGGGCGCCGGGATTGTCATGTCAGGGATGATGAGTGGTGATGAGTGGTGATGAGTGGTGATGAGTGGTGATGAGTACACAAGCGGAAGCAGGCAGTGAGTGGTGATGAGTACACAAGCAGAAGCAGGCAGTGAGTGGTGTTCTTGAAAGGTCTCAAAAACTACACCAATGTGAACAAGCAAAAGCAGGTACGTTGGTGTAGTTTTAGAAGGAATTCAGGGGGTGCAAGGAACCACCGACGGGGGGGCGAGAAAGGGAGGAGTGCAGGGAAGGAAGCAGTGACGGGGAGAGCGGAAGGAGGATACGAGTTAAGGGGAGCAGATAGATACGACGAGCACACAGATGCAGGTGCATTGCATGCACGGAGTTATGAGGACTGTTGCTGCAAGCTTCTAAGACTCAGGAGAAAACGGGCTTAGGGATATGAGCGAGGGGAACGGGATCAGGAAGAGCGGGTGTGGGAAACGGTTGTGTGGGGAACTGGTGTGGGGCTCACAGTTCCGAAAGGTTGGAGAGCCGAGTCAACTTGCCAAGCTCATTAACAAAACCACAGTCGCTGATTCTCCTGTGGGTCATGCAGCAGCACATTGCGCAACAGGAGAAGACACGTTTCACACAGACGAACAGAACATGAGGCAACGTGTCATGCAATGTCACGCAACGCCACGCCATTCCATTCCATACCAGGCATTTATTGTGCCATTGCAATGTTAATCCGTATCGTGCCATGCTTCCTGTGTTATTCTTCTGACGTGGGTGTCACTCACAATGCTCATCATGTCATGTGCAATGAGACACAACAAACAAGCACATGAAATGAAGCATGACCTGACGTGCTTACAGCCTGGTGAGCTGAGTAAAGTTCGCCATCCCATCGGGGATGCCGTAATGCGTGTGTGGCAAGCAGTCCACCGCCCTGGAAAAAAACGCAGCAGGAGAATCAGCAAATCGAGCTTCATTCGTGCTGCCTTCATGTTTCAAAAGATCCCATGAGACACGACAGGCTGCAGCCAGCAATCAGGAATTCCCAGCTCTAGGGGGGAACCCCATGGGGACTCACAGGGATTTGAGCCACGTCATGTTGTAGAGGGACCCCCATGGAAATTGGGGTACTTGTGAAAACTCCCTGTGTGTGGCATGGCACATGCGGAGAGCAGGGAAGGACGAGAGGGGTGGTGATGGTGATGGTGATGGTGATGGTGATGGTGATGGTGATGGTGATACAAATGAGGGATAAGAGACAGAAGAGCAATAGCTGGGCACAGGGAGGAGCACGCACATTCTGAATCCACTCGAACCAGACTACCCTTAACGTTGATTATCCTAGACTGGACTACACACCAGGTATCGATGGGGAGGAAAAGCACAACGCGCATTCTCAGAATCTACGTAGCATGCCAGCCCCTTTCCACACGCACGCACACGCACACCGTCACACGCACACCCACACACAGACATCCTCCCCCCCCTCCCTCCCCACCACACACACACACACACACACACACACACACACACACACACACACACACACACGCACACACACACATCCCACACATTTCCGTTAAGCACGTTACGTTCGACTGCCATATGAGAGCGCAGCGCACATGTAACTAACAACCCCTGTCTACCCCGGTGTGCCCCAGGGGCGTACAGCTGGGTGAGGCGCGACAGCCGAGTGACGGAGGCGGGTTCCCAGTTCACCACTGCAGACGTGTTGACGCGCCTGCGCACAGGAGGGATGGGCATGGGCGGTTCGGTTGGAGGGCGGGGGTGTGGGGCCAGTTGAGATGCGAGGAGAAGTGGGAGTCTGTGAGGAAGTGCGCTTTTGCGGGTGGGACGGGAGTTTTTGTTTGCGTAATGCGGGAAGGGTCAGACTCACGAATGGCCGTCTGGTCTGGGTCAACCTCGCTGCAGAGAGCAACCGGGGCTCCAGGCGGTCATTCGTAGGTCTGACCCTTGGTAGGAATGAATGAAGTCGAGTGAAGGCAAGAGAGAAACAGATCCTTGCAATTACAGCAATCACAAGTGGGAATTGCAGGGCCTGAGGTGAGAGTGACAGAGCGGCTGTGAGTGCGCTCAGATTGAATCAGGCCCCAGACGCATGCAAGATAAATTTCAAGCGAACATTGATTGCAGCTAGCAGTGCGTATGGCACGGCAAGGCACGGTGCAGTGCAGAAAAGAACGGCAGATACGGCACAGCAGGGCGCGCGGACGCACATGGAGGTGATCATGCCGTCTGAGTCGCATGTGAGGCCTTGCGCTTGCTGGCAGTCGCTCCCCGCCTGCCAGCCCGAGAAGTTTTTCTTCCATAACGACTGCAGCTCTTTTAACACAACACCTGCCGAACAGCCAGCAACAGCAACCGTGAAAACGACGGGGAAAGGCTGAGAAGGGGTTGGGCTGTGCGTAGACTGCTGGTGCAGCATGGTGAAGGTTGGTGGTGGGCGTGGGGGGAAGGGAGGAGAGCCGCAGGACAGGGCGTGTTTGCAAAAAGCAAGTAAGGACGCGGAAGAATGAGTCTTGCTAATCTTGAGTCAGCAGTGATGCTCATCGTAACACCCCCTCATGTGCAGACCCGTTCACAAACAACTGGCCAGCTGGCTGGCTGACAGGCTGACTGACAGGCTGACTGACTGACAGGCAGGCCGGCGTGCAAGCCGCATCCCCACCCTGCAAGCCGGCTGAGGTGGTGATGTCTCGATTGGAGGGTTTGATTGTGAACAGTGGAGTATGACGAGAGCGACCAACGCACCTTGCGAGTCCGCGATGGGCTGTGCGAGCGACGTGCACGGCAGGCAGCAGCATGCGAGCGCCGCGACGAGCGCCAAGAGACCGCGACGGAAGCCGCGATGCACCGCCATGGCTGGTGGCTTTAGGCGTCCGGTTGAGGCCGACAGGAGCAACGAGCAGCAGGCAATAAGCTTGACGGACGTTTTTGAAAATTTGCCTGCGTGTCAGAATTCTAAATCTACGAACACGTAGCAGTCGGACGGACGGCCAAAACGGCACGTGGAGAATCTGCCGTGCGTTGCGCCGGAGCTAAAATTCGTCCCGTTATCTCTGCCACGCGGCTTTCGCGATGCGCGCAGCGTACTTCTCAGTTATACACTATCAAGGCGCGAAGAAAGAGCTGGATGCGGATTGAACTCTTGGTAGCGAATGTGGGGCTTTTTGGGGGGATTCTCAGAGCGAATGATTACCAGCAGGAATCCGGTGCAGCGGTATTATTTCAATTTCGAGATGGTGCTGCGGTTGGTTCACGATATGTTAACAAGGATGCCACCGTCGTGAACGAGGGGTAGTATTCCGCCTTGTCTGGCCTGCTCGTTGACGGAAGGAAAGGAGGGATTGAGGGGACGGAGCAGGGAGCACAGCAGAGCAGAGCAGGAGAAGAAGGTCGTAGCGAGAATGCAGACTAGGGCGGGAACAAGTCGACGTGCAGTGTCTGTAACGGAATGGCTTTATCTCGGCCACCCCTCCTGCCCGCCATTATTCCTCTCCGCGTTGCCTGAAAACTCTCTCTCTCTCTCTCTCTCTCTCTCTCTCTCTCTCTCCTCTTCTCTCTCTCTCTCTCTCTCTCTCTCTCTCTCTCTCTCTCTCTCTCTCTCTCTCTCTCTCTCTCTCTCTCTCTCTCTCTCTCTCTCTCTCTCTCTCTCTCTCTCTCTCTCATCTCTCTCTCTCTCTCTCTCTCTCTCTCTCTCTCTCTCTCTCTCTCTCTCTCTCTCTCTCTCTCTCTCTCTCTCTCTCTCTCTCTCTCTCTCTCTCTCTCTCTCTCTCTCTCTCTCTCTCTCTCTCTCCTCTCTCTCTCTCTCTCTCTCTCTCTCTCTCTCTCTCTCTCTCTCTCTCTCTCTCTCTCTCTCTCTCTCTCTCTCTCTCTCTCTCTCTCTCTCTCTCTCTCTCTCTCTCTCTATCTCTCTCTCTCTCTCTCTCTCTCTCTCTCTCTCTCTCTCTCTCTCTCTCTCTCTCTCTCTCTCTCTCTCTCTCTCTCTCTCTCTCTCTCTCTCTCTCTCTCTCTCTCTCTCTCTCTCTCTCTCTCTCTCTCTCTCTCTCTCTCTCTCTCTCTCTCTCTCTCTCTCTCTCTCTCTCTCTCTCTCTCTCTCTCTCTCTCTCTCTCTCTCTCTCTCTCTCTCTCTCTCTCTCTCTCTCTCTCTCTCTCTCTCTCTCTCTCTCTCTCTCTCTCTCTCTCTGGAACCATCAAGTCGGCATTCAGCCCAGCCCTGCGTGATCCAATCCCAGAAAAACCACACCACTCGTGGTGACCCATGCCGTGCCGTATACTTCACACAATTATACATGAACAAGCGCAACTGGGCAACTCCAACAGGACTGGGAGGCGCTTTGTTGAGGGTGGAAGCTAAGGGGGTCGAAAGTGATTTCCAAGGAGCTAAGAGGAGTGAAGATTGGGTGAAAAGATGTAAACAAACTTATTTATAGCTAAAACAAGGGGCGACGAAATCGTCTTAGGGTTGCGGAGCTTTTTGGGTTGCGTAGCAACCCTTTATATTTGGTTTCACATTTTGGGGATATATTTTGAGGCGTGATATTTTACACACTTTTTGGAGCACACGTTTGAATGTTTGGAACTGTGCTCAAACAGATGCCTCAAATAGTGAATAAAAGCACTCTCAAATGAGATTCCCATATGTGAAACCAAATACCGTACGTATCATGTTGAAACCATGAACTTGCTCGACCGTCCCAGCATCGTCGATAAATACGGCGGTGTCAAATTGTTGAATTATATTGCATATCCTAGCTGCCTACAGCTTGCTAGTGTATTAGTTAGTTATTAGGTTCAACTGCTGGTGGTGTACCCTATCCTCTCCCCTATCCTATATCTTGTAAACATTCCTTAGTGAATCCCCTCTTTGCCCAATTCTCTTGCCATGCTCACTCTCGACACTCACGCTTCCTAGGTAAACCCTAAGTTACTAAGTCAAGAGTTAAGAGCGTGTTCTGACATGATATCAGAGAGTGGTCCCTCCTAGGACCTCGTTTTCATGGGCCCACCAAACCCGCGATCTGCCATGGCGAATTATTGTGCTGCTGGCATGGCTGCTACTGCTAGTAGCGCGAAATCCGCTGCTGGCTCGAACTCCGCTGCTTTTGCAGCACCCGTCGCGCTGCCCCCTTTCGCCTGCCCCGTCGCGCTCTGCCAGTGGCGAGCGTGCCAGCGAGGCGACGGCGGGCGCCAGCGCAAGCGCCAACGGCGGGCGCCAGCGCCAACGCCAACGGCGGGCGCCACCGCCAGCGCCAACGGCGGGCGCCACCGCCAACGCCAACGGCGGTCGCAAGCGCCAGCGCGGACGCCAGCACCGACGGCGGGCGCTAGCGCAAGCGCCAACGGCGGGCGCCAGCGCCAGCGCGACGCCAGCGCCCAGCACCAGCACTTCCGCCAGCGCCAGCGCATGGGGGGGAGGGGGATGAGGGGGTGGCGGGAAAGCTTCTGCCGCGCCAGCCACCTCCTCTCCTCTCCTCTCCTCTCCTATCCTCTCCTCCTCCTCTTCTCCTCTCCTCTCCTCTCCTCTCCTCTTCTCCTCCAGCCGCATCTCCTCCTCTCTCCTCTCCTCTCCTTCTGCCGCATCTCCTCCTCCAGTCTCCTCTCCTATAGCCGCATCTCCTCCTCCTCTCTCCTCTGCAGCCGCATCTCCTCTGCTCTCCTCCTGTGCACCACCACCAGCTTCCTCCTCCTCACCAACAGTTGTGTTTGCTCGTAGATGGCGAGCGACCAGCATCCTTCGCCCTCCGGCTATCCCAGCCCTCCTCCGCGCTCTCCGCGCCCTCCTCCGTTCTGGCGTTCACAGGTGCTGCCGCTCAGCCACCGCTGTTTCTGTGCCTATCCCAGCTACAGCAACCGCTCTCCAGGCGACCTGGTGCCAGACACCACTAGCTATAGCCGTAGGCAGTTACGGGGGTGTGTTGAATTATATTGCATATCCTAACTGCCTACAGCTTGCTAGTGTATTAGTTAGTTATTAGGTTCAACTGCTGGTGGTGTACCCTATCCTCTCCCCTATCCTATATCTTGTAAACATTCCTTAGTGAATCCCCTCTTTGCCCAATTCTCTTGCCATGCTCACTCTCGACACTCACGCTTCCTAGGTAAACCCTAAGTTACTAAGTCAAGAGTTAAGAGCGTGTTCTGACACAAATGTTGTAGCCTGTAGTGAGGTTTGTCTTAGGGGGTACAGATGTTAGAGTTTGTTATATGTACCCCAACCCACATCAATGAACCAACACTTCTATTCTTGACATGGTATCACCTAGGTTAGGATCCTGTGGGATCCCGCTCTTCCCGTTCTCGTTCGTCTCGCCCGAGCCTGTCTCACACTGTCGTACTAGTTGCGCCCGTCTTGCCCGAGCCTAGCGCCGGCCCGATCTAGTCCCGTTCGTTCGTTACCCGCCCGTTCCGCCGACTTACTTTCCCCGTGGCGTAGCGCCCTCCCCCCCCCCCCCCCCCTCCCCCCCCCCCCCCCCCCCCCCCCCCCCGCTGCCCGACGCGTCGCGTTTTCCCCCCCTGCTGCCCGTCGAGTCGCGCTTTCTCGTCAACACGTGCCTTCCCCCCGCTGCCTGTCGCGTCGCGCCTTCCCCTGCCCCCCGTCGCGTCGCGCCCTCCCCCCGCTGCTCGTCGCGACGCGCTCCCCCCGTCGCGTCCGTCGAGTCGCGTTTTCCCCCACTTCCTGTCCCGTCGTGCCCTCCCCCGCTGCTCGTCGCGACGCGCCCTCCCCCCGCTGCCCTACACGCCCATTCGCGCGCCGCGTCTGCCGCCGCGCCTGCCCGTTCGGCCCGCCGCGGGCCTGCTCGTCCCGCCGCCGTGCCTATTCGCGCCGCCGCCGCGCCTACGCGTCAGGCCCGCCGTGGGCCCGCTTGTCCTGCCGCCGCGCCTACCCCTCCTGCCCGCCGTCGCGCCTCCTAGTTAGGCCCGCCGCGGGCTTGCTCGTCCTGCCGCCGCGCCTGCCCGTACTGCCCGCCGCGGACCCTCCCTTATAGCCGCCACGGGCCCTCCCTTTCAGCCGCCGCGCCTCCTCGTTAGGCCCTCCCTTCACACTGCTGTGCCTACTCGTTCAGTCCACCGCGGGACCACCCCTTGCACCTGTCACGCCTGCGTTTTGCACCTGCCACGGTCTTGCCCTAGCCGCCCTACCAGTGCCGCCCGCAGCCGGACTTGTCGTTTCCGCTTACGCTATGGCGACCCCTAGGGTTCTTCGCTTTGACGCTGGCGGTAGACCGCTCGAGTTTCCGGTCTGGCTCCTACGCGCGCGTCGCCTTTTAGAGAGTCAGGTCCAGGCGGGCGAGTCCCTCTGGGCGCACGCTACTGGTGACCTTCCTGCGCCCGAC